ATGTTGTGAAAACGTATTCAAGATGATTTCCAAATATTAAAAAAGTCGATTGAACTATTTTATATAAACAGTTCAAGAAATCCCTTCCGTTGATATAGGAATACGTAGAGATCAATAGGTTCTTATATCTTCATACAAGCTTGAAGTCCTCCACGTTACAAAGCAAATCAAAAATGATTTCAAAAACGGTGGAACCAGAAATACTTTGTGTAAATATATATATATATATATATATATATATATATTTTTACACAAAGTATTTCTGGTATTTTTTTTTTTACAGTTTCATAGTGCTTTGACCCCAGTTTAGGGGGGGGAGTAACTATTTGCCCATAGCTGGGGCCCTAACAGGTGCTACCACCCTGGCTCAGGGTGGACCAGGGAACTGTGGGTAATTCAGTTCGCCTGTCGTTTGCGATGACTGAAATGGATTAAAGTGCTTGCTTTCTTTTCCAGTCCTCTACACTACCAACTGAGTTGTTGCAAGTGACCTCTTCCTTATTCTCATTCTTGTTAGAATACGCCAACAAACATTCTGTTGTCTTCCTCACAGACTCGCTATTTATGCCTGCATCAGGGGCAACTAAAATTTGCATATGAGACTTCTCGTTCGTCCGAGACTTCTGATTTTATAAATTCAAGCTGGTTTGAATTCTTAGTCTTTTTTCTTTGTACGTCTGCCCGCGATATAGAAATTTCGGAATAATCCATTTCTCTTTTAATGCCAGTTACAATCTTTCAACAGAACCTGACATGCCAAGCAAATTCACTTTGCGGGAGGTAAGTCTTCTCGTTCCTCACAGTAATTAAGCAGTAGTTCCATGATCCTCAAAACCTCCTGATCAGAGGCCTTGCTGCTGGACATAGTTTATCGTCTTACCCAGGATGCAGATGTAATTTATCATTATACCCAGGATGGCACAATTGATTAGCACTGGGCTTATGATGCATATACATATCAGAAGGTAAACAAAAATGCAAAATGTGTTGGAAATGCCCTCTGGCATTTTGTCAATAGCCATGACACTAGTTTTTATTTTGTGGAAACAAATTCACTGCCAGATTGTTGGCAAATTTATGTGTCAATTTGGGCAGAAACTTTGGCAAATAAGCTTGCATTTGAGTCGAGTTATAACATTTCAAAAATTTATGGTTCCAAATAGAAATATTGTTGTATAGAGTTGTTCAACGACACATGATCACTAGTGAACTTTTGTCCCATCTGACTTTTTTATTCCACACTTAATTTCTCCTATAACCAATATAAATAAAATCCTATTTGCCAATTCCATTATAAATATATTTTGTTCTAACCTCATCACTATAACAAAATTCACCAAACAAAACCTTAAACTGGTCATAACTCTTTGACTAAGTGCCATACATCTTCAGAATATAATTGATTATGGCCCTCTGCAGCTTCCTTTTAATTTAATATGCATTGCTATGATTGATCTTGACTAAAATAATGGAATGGTTTCCTGTTGCTTTTTTCAGGTTTGGCTTCAGAGTAGTCTTTCATATAGACTAGCTATCAACTAGGGCAGGGGTCACCAAACTCTGGTTCACGAGCCGCATCCCCCCCCCCCAAAAGTCAGTTCATCCAGCCCGCCACTTCATTGTGCCACAAATGAGCTAAACTATAATTATTTATATGAAATTATCAATAGATTGTAGTTAAACTTACTATGTACAAAAAATTTAAATAAATGTAAGTAAAAGACCAAAATTTGGCCAATCTGATTTTTGCATCTGACATTTGCATTTTAAGAAAATTAGTGAAATAAAAAATTTGACAACTTTTTGCAACTTTGTGTTGTATATAAAAAGGACTGCCAAATTATGTCATTTTCCTTGAACTTATAAAATCTAAAGTACACACAACAAGGTTAACGAATGAACATTTGAAAGCATTTCTCTTGGTTGGATACAGCAATACCAAAACAAAATCTTAAAAGGTAAATGCCAGTTTCACAAATCTCACCAACCTTTTGTGCTGCTTAGTTGGTGAGATTCAGATATGTGCACACTTGGTGTGATATAACTATTTTATTGCTATTGCCGCCTTCTTAGATAACTTTTTAGTAAATAAGTATATTTGTTGTCTTTATTTTTTGTGCATTTAGTGTATTGTATTGAAAAAAATGGTTATCCGACCCACACTTGTCATTCTCTCAGTTATCTGGCCCTCTGTAAAAAGAGAGAAAAAAAAAAGAAAAAGAGAGAAAAAAAAAAAGAAAAAAAAAAAAAAAAAAAAAAAAAAAGAAAAGAGAAAAAAGAGAAAAAAAAGAAAAAGAAAAAAAGAGAAAAAAAAAAAAAAAAAAAGAAAGAAAAAAGAGAAAAAAGAAAAGAAAAAAAAAGAAAAGAGAAAAAAAGAAAAGAGAAAAAAAAGAAAAGAAAAAAGAAAAGAGAAAAAAAGAAAAAGAGAAAAAAAAGAAAAGAAGAAAAGAAAAGAGAAGAAAAAAAAAAAAGAAAAGAAAAGAAAAAGAAAAAAAAGAAAAAGAGAGAAAAAGAAAAGAGAGAAAAAAAGAAAAGAGAGAAAAAAGAAAAGAGAAAAAGAAAAAAAAAAAAAGAGAAAAAAGAAAAAAAAGAAAAGAAAAAAGAAAAGAGAGAAAAAAGAAAAGAAAAAAGAAAAGAGAGAAAAAGAAAAGAGAGAAAAGAGAAAAAAAGAAAAGAGAAAAAGAAAAGAAAAAAAAAGAAAAGAGAAAAAGAAAAAAGAAAAGAGAGAAAAAGAAAAAAGAAAAAGAAAAAGAAAAAGAGAAAAGAAAAAAGAGAAAAGAAAAAAGAAAAGAAAAAAAAAAAGAAAAGAAAAAGAAAAAGAGAAAAAAGAAAAGATAGAAAAAGAGAAAAAAGAAAAGATAGAAAAAGAGAAAAAAGAAAAGATAGAAAAAGAGAGAAAAAAGAAAAGATAGAAAAAGAGAGAAAAAAGAAAAGATAGAAAAAGAGAGAAAAAAGAAAAGAGAGAAAAAGAGAAAAAAAAGAAAAGATAGAAAAAGAGAGAAAAAAGAAAAGAAAGAAAGAAAAAGAAAAGAAAGAAAAAGAGAAAAAAGAAAAGAAAGAAAGAAAAAGAGGAAAAAGAAAAAGAGAAAAAAAGAAGAAAAAAGAAAAAGAGAGAAAAAGAAAAAAGAAAAAGAGAGAAAAAGAAAAGAGAAAAAAAAAAAGAAAAGAAAAAAAGAAAAAGAAAAAGAAAAAAGAAAAAGCAAAGAGAAAAAAAGAAAAGAAAGAAAAAGCAAAGAGAAAAAAAGAAAAGAAAGAAAAAGCAAAGAGAAAAAAAGAAAAGAAAGAAAAAGAAAAGAGAAAAAAAGAAAAGAAAGAAAAAGAAAAGAGAAAAAAAAGAAAAGAAAAAAAGAAAAGAAAAGAAAAGAAAAGAAAAGAAAAAAGAAAAAAAAAAAGAAAAAAAGATAAAAAAAAGAAAAAAAAAGAAAAGAGAAAAAAGAAAAGAGAAAAAAGAAAAGAGAAAAAAGAAAAGAGAAAAAAGAAAAGAGAAAAAAAAAGAGAAAAAAAAAAGAGAAAAAAGAAAGAGAAAAAAAAGAGAAAAAAAGAGAAAAAAAAGAGAAAAAAAAGAGAGAGAAAAAAAGAGAGACAAAAAAGAGAGAAGAAAAAGAGAAAAAAAGAGAAAAAAGAAAAAGAAAGAGAAAGAAAAGGAGAAAAAAGAAATAAAAGAGTTTGGTGATTCCTGAACTAGGGCTTGAGAATTCAGACTTATTTTGCCCATAGCTGGCAGGTAAGAAGAAGAAATGAATTTGTGCCTTTTCCAAGAAACGTTTGTGCAAAGTGAATATAAACTTCCTTGGCCAGAAATAGATCTCTGATCTCCAGTTGTGTTTTTGTTGCAGTAACACCTTTCTATCAACTGATTAACAGGAATATGTGCATAATGTTTTGGTAATCAGCTTGGCAGTTGGGATCAGTGAACCAAATTAAAATTCCATCAAAAGGCCATTTTATCTTTTCCTAACCTATGCTCTGTGCAGGAACAAGCACAGATAGGAAGAGACAGACACCAATAATTTCAGCATTCCATCCAACATCCCAAATGAATCTGCGATTTGAAAACAGTGTTCAAGTTTCCCTCCTAAGGCCAATGTGCTGACGATAAAGACATATTCTGCCAAGTGTTCCAAGAAGCAGGACAAGATAAATGTTTCCAAAACAGAAACTATGATCTAGAATCGGAATGAAAGCAGCTGTCCTGAATCCATGAAAAAAAGAACCAGCATGTGGAATTAGTAAATACTAATTTAGTATAGGAGATAAGGAAACTGAATACAGGATAGGTACTTTTGTCCAGCACAGCAAGAGACTACAAAACCAAAAGCACTAATCTAACTTAAATAATTAACTTAAATAACTGTCAGATCAAAGCTCTCATGTGGATGTCATGCATAGCATCCAACTTGTTCAGGTGTGTCTAACCTGCCAGTTGCATACAAGAGTTTTCTCAGATCAAGTGAATGAATCAAGACTAACCTGTATAAGATCCAAGATTTGCACTAGAAAAATCACAAAGAGCTTTATCAAATACAAAAAAAAACATCATATTGAATACGAGCAACAAAACTAGGCTGCACATTTAACCTGAAAGGAAAATGATACAATCCTGATATTGACTTTGCACACTACCATAACCCTTAAGCATTAAACACGCTCAAACCCGCCTTATAAATATCAGGTCTGAAAGTCTCACCATTTGCACAACTTCCTGCATTAGTTGCGATGATGCTGTCATATTATGGTGGATAGATTCACTTTTTATGGCTTCTCAATGCTTTGTAGGTTATTTAAAGCCAAAAAATATTCTTAGATTCCAAGAATCTTTTTTCTTTTGGAGATAATAGTTTAGCGATACAAGTCTTACTAATTGAACTATAGCTCAGGGAGAAGAGGTGGATTCATACTTACATGTAAATGAATATAACGAACCCAATGGGAATTGTAACTTTGTTATCCGATTAACAATTCCAAGCCATTATCCATTACATCAACCGCACATCCAACCTTACAGAACCTGGGATTGCCAAGCACTCACCCATCAAGGTACTGACTAAGCTCAATATTGCTCAACTTCGGTGATTGTATGGGAACCAGTGTTTCAACATGATATAGCCATGAGTGTTTCCATATAAGGAAATGGCTTAGCTCACCATTATCAAAAACCTACTTACTGTTGATACCAAAGTAGTACTATCTACACTGATTTGATTGTGGTGCTATACTTTACCAAAGAGTCTACAGGTTCACTAAGAAGGAAGACCATGAACAGACTTTTATAGATTTCAGAATGGTCATTTACAGAGAAATGCCAATTTTAAAAATTTAGCCATTTCAACTTCATTTTTATTCTTGAAATTCACATTTTTAATCTGCAATACAAATGGAACAAAACAAAATGAAACAAATTATTGAAGACAGCTTGCAGAAAATATTTCAATACTTTAATGCAAAACCCTTTTCTGTATTTTTTTTAGTTCACATCAAAATGTAATTTCAAGAATTAAGACTAAAATTTAGAAAATATAATATTTAAAAGATGAAAGATTAGTCATAAAATGTCTATATACAAGATTTATTAAGACTTTAGAGAAAACTTCCATCTTAATTGAATAGGCACAGATATACATACAGGAAATGAATTTTATATATGACATAGTTTTTATATTATACAGAGGAAGTTGTAGCAAAAAAATAAAAATAAAAAAAACATGGACACAAATAAGAATTTAGGCTTGTCTCATGTTTTTATACTTCCTTTCCATTTATATTCTTTGTACAAAGTTTTTTAATCTTTTTTTCTATCTTTTTCAATTTTTTTTTTTTATGGGGGACTTGTTAATAAAAGGAACCTAAATGTTAAAAAAAAATTCAATACATTTGCCATTTAAAAGGGTGTTGCTCTTGTTTAAAATGAATAAATATATAAGTGTAGGAGGTTTTTTTTTTCCTGCTAGGCAATCTGCGGTTAATACCAACTTCTATTGTTTAAATACTGCACACAATGAAGGGAAAAAATTCTAAGATATCTCAGGTCTTAATATCAGAAACAAACAGATTCTAAAATAACTTTTAATCTTTATTTAACACTTTACATATAAATTGAAGACATTTTTCTTTTAGTCTTAAAATGTCTACCATTGAATTGAAAGAGCTTTTACAGTTTAAGGGATAGATTATGCAGTCTGAACTTCAAAAGACAAAGTATTGTTTATAATTCTTGCATTAATATCCTCATCTTTTCTTCCTTTTTTCAAAAGTTTCAAACAAAATATCATTCCTTCCTTACTCCTTATCTTCTCCAAAAGATATATATATATATATATAAAAAAGGATTAAATTTTTAAAAGTGCTCAATATTTGAAATATAATAGAGAATAAAGTTGAAAAAACACTAATATAAAAATAAAAGATGGACATATATCAAAAACAACACTTGACAAGTGAACCTACACCACAAAACAGGAAAATTAAAAACAAATACGAATAAATTTATAGTAAGTAAATTTTTCAATATAAATTTAAAAAAAAAGATTATATACACTCAATTATATTCTAAATAATGAGCACTTTTAAAAAAAAGAATTGCATTTTGAAAATTTAATCCTTAACAATAAGCTCTAATAAAAAAACTGTTCCAAGTTGAGCACTTTAATGATTGTTGAGTTTTTTGTTTGTTTAAAAACAGTATATTTAAAAAAAATCTATTGAAGGTATACTAATGAAATATTCCTACATCAAATGTAAAAGAATACAAAATTAAACTTATTGAAATAATAGAAAAATTTATAAAAAGGTTAAGATAGAAAGTATTTTACTTAACAATAACTAATAACAAAAACAATTTTGAATTTGTCAGCAAAATGTCTGCAACAAAAAGAATTGATTTTGAAAATGACTTAATAAATACAATAAATAATTCAAATAAACTATTTATTCAAGTAAACATTAAAGATTTTTAGCCCTCAATTACCGAAAATATATTAAATAAAGGGTTAGATTTAACTAAACACAAACATTCAACAAGAAGAATTTCATATAATTAAACATTGTAGAAAATCATTATTATACTACAACAATAAAAGATGGCTAAAGAAAAAAAGCACAATAACAGACATGGGTAGCTATGATAGAGCTAGGTTATGCAATATAATAGTAATATACATAATTTATAAGATTTACATCGTTCAGCCTGTTGTCCTCATCTTTACTGACATATTCATGATGTTTTCGCAATTGTATGCTTTGGCCTTCTTTAGTTAATAAACGTTGGAATTTCAAACCAAACCCTTTATTTAGTGCACTGGGGTAGAATGTTCTAGTTCCACGTGCCATGCCTTTTCTGAATATCTTTCAGTTAATTCCCTTTAGTAACTCAACTCTCCAAATTTTTGTTCACCTCTGCTGTGGACACATGGCCCAGTGGATGAAAGCATTGGCTGAGTAATCCAAAAGGTGACTTGACCCAAAGAGTTATGAGTTCAATACCTGGCCACAGCAGAGGGAACAAAATGTTGGCCAGTGGAGTTACGAAAGGGAATTAACTAAAATTGAGATATCCAAAAAGGCATGGCACATGTAATTAAAACAATTATAGTAGACTAAATAAGATTTAGTAGACTGAATAAAGTGTTTAATTCCAACTTATATCACCTGAAGAAGGCTGGAGTGTATGATGGCTGAAACGGGGAATATGGCAATAAAGATGAGGACAACATTCCAAATGATATAAATAGTTTAAATGTCCATTTATATTTTACAACACCACAGAGAAAGAACAACTATCCATAAGAATGTATGTCTGCTTATTATTTTCTTTCTCTAAGTGTGTGCTTCTTTTCACCACATGCTCATGTCTGTAAATTTGCTCTAAATACTGTGAAGATTTTGTATTTCTAAGCATAATGTAAACTTTAAAAATTCTTATCTTTAGTCAATATGAACTGGAAAAAAGTTAAACAGATGTAAATTTAGGTTAAGTTTCACTGCTACAAATTCTAAAAATTAAAAGAAAAAAAAAAATCTCAGCATCTATTGTACACTAGATTTTTTTTCTCCAGAATTTTGTCACCCAAATTTAGAGAATGCATATTGTACACAATTATAGTAGCTATGAATTAACAATACACTTTTCCTAAAACAATTACATATGTACATATTAATCTCTGCTCACAAGCTTTCTTTACTTAAAAATCTCTGCTTTTACAAATTATATAAAAGCTAGCTTACCTATGCTGTCAAAAATGTATAGCTATATTAAACAATATTTTTGCATTACCAGAAAAATAAGCATGAGAACTTCTAACTGAAAACCCACACAATTATCTATCACTCGTGAAAAATTTATTTGAATTGAGCTCTCTGGGAAGGAAGTGTCAGTTTGTAAACCATGACTATTACTGCTACTAATGCAATACATTTTGATAAAACAAATATTACTGCTGATAATCCAAGACTCTTCAGTAAAGTGAATCGAGTTCTCTCAGTTATTGTGAGTTTATCTAAAAATAGATATGCTTAAATTCACCTTCATCTCTGCTGTGCACCAACGGCTTAGGGGTAGAATCTCCAAATGACACCAGGTTTTGATCTTAGCTAAAGATAACTGGATGTTTAGCCTGATGAGCTGTGATACAGCGAAACTGTCTGTGGATGACTATATATATATATATATATATATATATATATATACACACACACAAAAAAAAATTCAAAATGTTGATGCAACAGACTACTTGTATCTCTATACAAAGAAAAAAAAAAAAAAAAACACCTTAGACAAGAAAGAAAATTACAAACTAAGAAATAAGGAGAAAAAATGCAAACAACTACATAAGCAGTAAATTAAAGTACTCAACACCTAGGCTATGCAGACAGAGAAAAATACACTTCACAGACTCAACCATCAATGAGGCACAGCCTTAGTTGCTACTTAAGTTTTAACACACATATTGCAATATTTATATATATTATATATATATATATATATATATATAATGTGTGTGTGTTACACATATACATTGAATTAGAATTAAAGATAAAAAAAAATACTTGATAATGCCTAAAAGAATAGCCAAAAGTGCTTGAACATAAAAGATTTGAACAATTTTTTTTTTTTTTTTTTAAAAACACGCTTTATGCCCAGGAAAGAAAAATGCGATAAACACAAGAAAAACTAAATAAAAAGTTTAAAACCAGTACCTTGTCAGTCATCTTTAAAAGCATTTAGTACTCTGTATCAATTATAAACATCACTTCCCCTTTTACTGCATATGGAATCCCCTCAAATATGTTTTATATATTAGTTCTATATATTTGAAATTGCAGTAGTCTGGCTCTCAATTTCAGTCAAGATTGCTTTAGGTGTTGCCATAGAAGAATATGACTACACAAGAAATTCAAACTTTACATTGGCAGGATTAACATTTTGCTTTGCAAAAATAGTCACCTACAGAGTGCTAAAGGTTAATTAAACATAAAAGAGAGATTGCTGCTCAAATAAATATATATATATATATATATATATATTATATATATATATTAGCTGGCCACTCATATTCAAGGATGCCTGTCTACTAGGGGCAGCTAACCAATCCCTATTGCAGACTCTTGCTCAGGCACATTTGTGTTTGTTCAACACCCACAAAGCCAACCTGTGGTTTATACTGCTGTTTATACTGAGCAGACCTTAGTTACAGTTTCTGGGAGAGAGTGTGTTGTCTAGCATGATCAACAATCTGAACAAGGCCAGCACAATCAAACCCTCAATTTTGAGGACTTGTGACTTCATGCGAGCACAGCTATCAATGGCCCCCAAGGGTTCCATCTAGCCAATTTCACTCACAAGGCTTGGGTCAACCCATGGTATGGTTTTCAGGCACTTTCCAAACGTGCCACACACTGGGATTGCCATCTCTAGACTGATAACATCAGAAAGATATGTTTAAAAAGAATTTAAAGCTTTTTTTTTTTTAAAAAAAAAAAGAAAAACACTTTCTAATATAGCTACAAGCCAAAAGACTGAATAAAACAATACTAAATAAAATTTGTCTATTATTTATACTATTCACATCAAAATTTTTCTTGTTATTACAATATCTCAGCAATTGCGCCCTCTG